ACACACACACACACACACACACACACACACACACACACACACACACACACAAAATCTCACAATACGTCCTTCACTGGTTTGTTAAATATTTTGCGCATTTGCCATCAAAACACACCACACACAAATCCAGCCAATGTATCATTTCCTCATGAACCTTTGAATCAGGTACCAAAGCAGTGACGTAACTTCACCACTTTCGAAGCTTCGGACGTCACTGATCACATGACTTTTACCAAACGAATCAAGCTCCGACACAGTGCTTCTGAAACAGTGTATTGTTTTTTTCAATACATGCGCCGAAGCTTCAGCTTCAAACTGCCCATCACTACTGAACTGTAATCTCGCGATACTTCGCGATACATGGCCGCCTGCGGTGTTTACAACTTCTTGCAATGAGCTTGAGCTAAAACAAAAAGTTCCCTCGCCGCACCGAGACATTAACCAGTTTTATGGGTTACCTTTACTTTTTTCTGCTAGTATAAAGAATAAAGACAGGATAAAAGAAATCCAGCGAAGCACCGGACGAACCAGAACGCAGGTAGGTAGCATCCAACTGTTAGCACAGGCTAATGCTAACCTCAGCTACTAATGGTCGTTTATTCATAATAAAACGATCGTTCGAGCTAAATTAAGTCTTCTCTTTCCCTTCATCATTATTAGTTAGTAAAGGCAACAGGGATGCTTATAAGTAAAAAGCTTAAGGTTTATTGAAGCAATTTGTTGTGTTAACTTTGAAAATGAGCACGGAGGCTCGGTTTAAAGCAGATCTTAATGTCACGACAACCCACCGGTGTGTTTGGATAGTTTGAACCACAGGTTAAGTCACGTTTCACTTTATTATTAATGCTGAAAATGACGTAACTCTAAAAGTCTCGCTTAATTTGTGTCATCCCTAGTTTTAACGTTGCCAATGCTCACATAATGTGATCTTACAAACTGTTTAAAACATCTGTGGTCAAACGAGGAAGGAACACTGCTTAGATTAAAATACATGTATTTTTGGTGCAATGTAAAATTTAACATATTTATATTAAATTGTCTAATCTGACTTTTTTTTTTCTTCCTGTTCAGGTAGGTGATGTCCTCGAACCCCAACAAACTCTGCCAGCCACACTGCAGGAAGAAGCACTATCCTAGTAGCACCTACCTCACCCACGTCTGACAGCCCACCCACCCCGCCACAGGACACCTAAACACCAGGTGTTTAGCCAAAGCCATGTGTGACTCAGCTGAAGCAGGTGATGGTGGAGGTGCAGCGGGTGTGGGGCAGGACACTGAAGCGGACAGCGAGCCCCCTCATCCGGCCCCATTTGGACTTTGTGAATCTGATTCTCTGGAAATCGGGGTGACCTCAGAGGAGGGGGTCTCACCAACTGCCAAACGCTTCAAGATGAGCGAGGAGGAGCTACGACGGGATGTGGAACCAGAGAAAGCACACGAAGAAACGCCAGCAGAGGAGAACCCCACCTCACCTGCACAAAGTACCGTATTATTTAGATTTGTGTGCGTTTGAAAGACTGCATAAAGTTTAGCAACCACAAAAAGCATTTATTCTAAATTAATTTGTTCTGTTGCAAGGATCAAGAGAAATTCTGCCGTGTGAGGAGGAGGAAGATCAAAAAGATGAAGAGGTCACTGATGAAGGTGCGTCAGAATGCCGTCAGAACGGAGATAAAGGAGCTGACGCTGCAGAAGCGACACCGGAGGAGGAGCAGAACGAATCAGCAGAGAGCCCTGCTGCAGGGCAGCAGTGAGTTCAACAAAAATACATGAATGTTTCACTGAGTTGGGTTCAAATCATGAAATTCATCCACAAAAAAGTCAGAGGAAAGTAATAAATCTTAGTTATATGGTTTGATGAGCTCTGCTGACTGAAAGAATTTGTGAAATTATTTTTATTTCGGAGTGGAATTTAACTTTTTTTTGTTTGTTTTTATGATCTGCACAGCTGCAGCGCCCCCATCAGGCCACAATAAAGATCTGAAATAATCAGAAAAATAAATTTTTACATTCCTGAAGTGAACTATTATCAATTTACGGACATGGGGGGAAAAATAAAAAAATAAACAGATCCTGACTTACTCTGCAGGATCCTGCAGAGTAAGTCAGGATCTATATTTTTTCCCCTATTAAATTATAAATGACCGAGCAACCTAAAGTTTTAATTCTAATAAACATTTTGATATTTACAGTTATTTAAATGTGGAAAAATAAGGTTTTAAATGTAAAAATAATAAGGAGAGTAGTTGCTTAAATATCTGACTCTAATAATCCTTAAACGGCAGAATTATCATCTGACTGAAAAACCACAGAACAAACCTATCAGTGAGTGGAATGTTAAACAGTTCCCTCAATATTTCATGACTTGGAGTAAAAGGAGAGGTTTAGTCTTTCTGTAAATAAACTAACTGTTCCTTTGGGAAGCTCACATTTTAGTTGAAAAGCCAAGTGTTTGAAATTTATCTTATTTTAGTTCAACTCGATGCTTTTATTTTCCTCACCAGCTGTGAAACTGGTTTATTTCCAGTGGAAAGTACAAATTTTTTTTTCTATTTTTTTTTTTTCTGGATTATTTGTTCCTCTCCCAACTCTTTCAGTTTGCTGTCGTCTCTGTTCTGCTTCCAGCCTCGGTCTGGACTTCACCCAGAACCCCACCATGCTGACGGGTTCCTGGAACGAGTTCTCCAGCGTTCCAGAGAATTACTTAAAGGGCTGCAAATGGTAAAGTCTTTTTACTGTGAACACGACTTAAAAACACCGTTAACACATGTGGTGAAATGTTTGAACTTCTGTCATCCTTTCATTTATTCAGAGATGTTTATTCAGTTTATCAGACAGGATAGTTTCCTGTTTGTGATCTGTCGCATCAAAGTTTTTCTACCAACCAAACAAAGTTAAGTTAATTTTCACAACATCAGGTGAGAAAATATGAGTTAAACTGATCCTGTTGTCAGTACAAACCTGCATTCACTTCATGTTTTTTAATGGAAAATTGTAGAAATACAACTTTAAGTATGAGCTGTTTATGTGACAACACATCGATGCTACGTGGCATCAAGCTCAAAACTTTTCAGGATTGAGCTTTTATTTTATTTTTTAATCGTATAAATTGTGTTGCCACAAGTGCAGAATCTGTTTTTTTTTTTTTGTTAGCCATTAATAAAATCACAAACGATGTGAAAGTTCAGCAAAAAAGTTGATTTTTGCAAAATAAAATAAAAGTGATCAACTGAAGTTTAAGGTTTTTGCCCGACCTTGATGATACGCTAAAATAAATCAGAATCAAATACTTACAAATGTATTCCTGTATGTTTTCTGTTCTCCACTCAGGGCTCCGGACGGTTCCTGCATCCTGACCAACAGCGCCGACAATGTGCTCCGCCTCTTCAACCTCGCCCCCGAGATCTACAGCTACAACTGGGACGTCCTTCCTGAGATGGTGAGCTGCTCATCAGAACCTCCTCTTGGTGGAAACTGACATTTATCCATCCATCCATCCATTTTCTTCGGCCTATCTGGGGTCGGGTCGCGGGGGCAGCAGCTTCAGAAGGGAGGCCCAGACCTCCCTCTCCCCAGCCACTTCTTCCAGCTCCTCCGGGGGAACTCCAAGGCGTTCCAGGCCAGCCGAGAGACATAGTCCCTCCAGCGTGTCCTGGGTCTTCCTCGGGGCCTCCTCCCGGTGGGACGTGCCCGGAATACCTCACCAGGGAGGCGTCCAGGAGGCATCCTTACCAGATGCCCGAGCCACCTCAACTGGCTCCTCTCGACGTGGAGGAGCAGCGGCTCTACTCTGAGTCCCTCCCGGATGACCGAGCTTCTCACCCTATCTCTAAGGGAGAGCCCAGACACCCTGCGGAGGAAACCCATTTCGGCCGCTTGTATCCGGGACCTCGTTCTTTCGGTCATGACCCAAAGCTCATGACCATAGATGAGGGTAGGAACGTAGATCGACCGGTAAATCGAGAGCTTCGCTTTCTGACTCAGCTCTCTCTTCACCACGATGGACCGGTACAGCGCCCGCTTTACAGCAGACGCTGCGCCAATCCGCCTGTCGATCTCCCGCTCCGTTCTTCCCCCATTCGTGAACAAGATCCCCAGATACTTAAACTCCTCCACTTGAGACAGGGCGACCCCCCTGACCCGGAGAAGGCACTCTGCCCTTTTCCAGCTCAAGACCATGGCCTCGGATTTGGAGGCACTGAGCCTCATCCCGGCCGCGAACCGCTCCAGCGAGAGCTGCAGATCTCGTTCCGATGAAGCCAACAGGACCACATCATCCGCAAAAAGCAGAGATGYGATCCTAAGRCCACCAAAACGGATCCCCTCAACACCTCGGCTGCGCCTARAAATTCTGTCCATGAAAGTAAYGAACAGAATCGGTGACAAAGGGCAGCCTTGGCGGAGTCCAACTCTCACCGGAAACGAGCCCGACTTACTGTCGGCAATGCGGACCAGACTCTGACACCGGTCGTACAAGGACCTGACAGCCCGTATCAAATGGCCCGGTACCCCATACTCCCGGAAACTGACATTTAAAAAGAGTTAAATCCGGTGAAGATCAGCCTTTTGTAATAAAGGTATGAAAAAAAAACTAATTTCTCAAACATTGCTGTCATCTTTAGTTTTTTTTACTGTGAGTAAAAACCTTTATGTGGTTTTTAGCTCTTTAAAGCTGTGTTAGAATAATTATAAACTCTTTAGTTTTTCTTTGAGCGAGGTTAGTTTTGCTGTAAGTCATGGATTTGTATTTAAATAAATGATTTAAAATGTTTTAGCTGATTATTGTAGGAGTATATTTTATATTAAAACTCTGGATTGTTGGTGAGTTTCCTCGTGTTTTATCACCTGAAGCTCTTTAAACGCCATTTTTCTCATTTTATTAAGAATTTAGACTTTGTTATTTCTAAATCTTTAAACTTTAATCCTTCAGTAGAAGCAGGGATACATGCTGCAGCTTTGGACTGATTTTTATTGGTTCTGAAAATAACGTAATATTTCATTACAATGTTCTTTTCTCTCTGCATTATATTCACACAAATTTCATCTTTATTCTTATTTATTGGTTTAAATACTAGATTCTAGTTTCCATCCTTATTTGTAAGAAAGAAAACTCCACACAAATTAGATTTTTCTTTATATAACTCCCTACGATGCCCATTTTTTAAATATAAAAGTAAAATACAAGCAGCTGTTAATTGCAAATCATTTACTCGAGTATTTAAAGTTTTTCTGATGCAGTTCATCATCAGATGAACTATTTTTGTCGTTTTGTTGCCCATGAGCTATAAAACCCCATCAGGTCACAGACGGTCTCCTCTTTAATACCTTTTAGGGTCGTCTACAAACTGCACCGAAGGAAATTTATTACAATTCTTCCTCTGATGTCCTTGGAAATCTCATTTCATGCCTTGATACACTTTACAGTGAAGAGCCCTGTTCCTTTTTAAATAACGTGGAACAGAAACGACGGTCGGCCCATCAGAGTCACTCGTCCTGACTCTAATTTCACTTCCAGATTAGATGTAACTGAGTGGCTTTTATTCTCCTGCTTCAATATAGAAAAATATTCAACTTTTTTTTTCTTTCAGTCTAAACACGGCTCAGTTCTCAATAAATTGTATCTGAGTTTGTATATTTCACACTTTATTTACCTTCCTGTTCTTCCTGTTCCAGAGTCCAGTTCTGAGGATGGCTGAAGGAGACACCATCTACGACTACTGCTGGTACCCCAAGATGAACTCGCTGGAGCCGGACACGTGTTTGTGAGTTAAACCGTACAAAGCTGAAGATTAGCGTAGAAGTAGCCAAAAACGAATTTTAACAAAACTAAACACTAATCAAAGTTTTAAGATGGCCACCACAGCTAAAGTTACACAGCTATAGTTCAAGCATTTTAAGAGTTTTTGAAATGCAATTTGTTGAGACGTAGCTAAGAATGATCACATGTCAGTGGTTGATGGTAATCCCAAATTAAGCTAACTGCTAATGCTAATTTTATAAAAGGCTATAATTCAGCTATTTTTGAGCTTACACAGCTGAAAATGTAAATAGTACAGTATCAGTGAACAATCTTTAAAATCTAAAAGCAAATACAAAATCCACTTGTTAATGATTTGGGGGAGTGGCACTTGGGGGTGGTATTTGCCACTCTTCTGGCTCCGCCCCTATAAAAAACTAAAAGCAGTAAAGTTCTTGTGACCTGCATATCCATGAAATATAAAATGTCAAAGAAAACATCTTTATGTTTAAAAAAACTTGACATAATACACATGAGTTTACCCGTTATGTCCCATACTTGGCCTATTTTCTTTTGAACTTGGCTCAGACGAAGTGAAACAGGAAGTGACATCAAAGGGGAACTCTTCAAGAAATAAAACACTCTGGTTTTTGTTTGTTAAAACAATATTTTTTGAACTGACTCTTCCTCATCCCTTTATTAAAGTAAATAAAATAATATAAATAAAAATAAGAATCTTCTCTACAGTCTGTGTTGTCGGCCTTTTGTAGCAACGCTCTGTTCACATGCAGACATTCCCCTTTGACATCACTTCCTGTTTCTTCACATGCAAATATCTCAACAGCTGTTCATCTCAACTGCATGAAATCTTTTTTTTACAATATGTTGTTAATGTTACCTTTTAAAAAATGCATTCATATTTATTACAAAATTTAGATGTCACAGGCACTTTAAACTTTAAGGGCGACGATTTAAAGGGTAAACTAAAGAGCACAGAATGTGCTTCAAGTCACGACTCTCAGTGCATGTTGGGGGGCTGGGCTGTGGGTCTTCCATGGTTCTCAGATGGATAACGATGGAAATTTCCCTCCTGGTTGGTATAAGACTCTTGTAGTCTTATTTTCTTTTTTTAAATAAACCATTTAGTGTCAGTCAGGAGATTTTATAGCTCTATACGTATATTTGGATCAATGTTCTGTGAAGTAATGTTATTTTTTTATCAGTTTGTTTTGAAGAGTTTCTTTGATCTCCAGGATATTTGTGCTCATTATGGGAGCTGGTGAAAAAATGTGAAGTGTTCTGATGCTCAGAGTGAAGGGTTGGCTCTTCTCTGGTCCGTTTGAAGCCTTTCAGTTCATGAAGAACGCCCCTCCTGAGTCCAGACATCACCTAAATGTCCCCACGGTTCCCCTGACTTTAAGGTTTTGTTTTCATCTCTTTTAATTATGACATCACTGCGCGGTGGTTCAGAGCCAGCATCAGCCGTCACTGTGGGCTGAATGGCTAATGAGCCAGGGTCAAGCTGCCTACGGTTTCCTCTGTTTCCTCCCCATCCCTCCATCAACATGCTTCAGTAACGATCTCCACCCCGCAGCAGTTTCCCTCTGATCAAACCTCTGGCTCTGACGCAGCTCCGTGGTGTTCGGCTTCCACTCGGAGAGAGCAGCAGGGTTTGAGCTGAGGAGATGGAGAGATGAAAGGTCTGTAAACAGGAGGACGATCAACAAGCGTCTCATGTGGGCAGAGAAGCCCTCCAGAGGTCTGTGTTTGTGCCGAGTCGTGCTGAGACTTGAGGATGCCACCAGGAGGCGACAGCAGATCCTGTTGATCAGCCTGGACTGGCCTGCAGAGCGCAGACAGGTGGCTGGTAAAGATCAGTAAAAACAGTTCTCCCTCTCATCGTTTTGTTTCCTCCTCCTCCCTTCGAGACTCTTGAACTCTGCCAAAGCTTCTTGTTGTCTATGCCCCCCTCCTGCAGAGAGGGAATAAGGGCCTCTGTTATTGCTCCGTTAACTTGCTCCGACTTCCAGGCATCGCTCCAAGCTAGCAGCAGTCTAGCATTATAATTGGGCATTTCCCAGCTCTGAAATAAAGCCGCGGCTCACGGGGGCCGTAACGTGGCCGCACAGCAGCGGCAGCAGGAGCTAATTTCCTTTGTCTAATTGAGCCGCATTGATGTTTCAGCATTTGTTCAGCGCCCAGTAATTAGACCTAAAAAGGTTCAGACTTGGGCCCTGATTTGAATCAATAAGAGAGCAGCGTGGACTTGTTCCTACATTAAGCTGCAGCACACTGCGGCCGGTTGGTTTTCATGCTTTCAGACAGCTGTGGTGCCGCAGAGGTTTAAAAACATCAAGTTCAATTTTTCAAAGACGGTTCAGATTTCAGAAGAATGTTAATATTTGTATTTATTCCCTTTCTGTTCTCTTAAAATAAATAATTCTACCTTTTTTTTTTCAGACAATCACAAGCACTGAAGCATCTTTTTTTACTATTCTGTTGTGATTTTTGTCCATTTTCATGCCTCACAAATGTGATTAAAGAATAAACATCCAAATTATACATGAAAACATGACTTGAATTGGAATAGTGTGCTACAATGCAAAATATTTTCCTATAGACAATGGGCTTTTGGTGAAACAAGTGGAATACTTCACATTAGAAATATGATTCAAAGTTTAAACAGATCATCAGAAATGTAACTTTAAATGTTGAACTGTCATTTTGACATCTTAAACACATTTTTCACACATCACACATTAAGTTTTATAATGTTTTTGGACATTTTACCTCATATTATTTAGCTGACTATTTAAACCAAACTGTTTAAATCCATATTTTGTTCATTTGCCTTGCACTGCTTTTAGTAATGTTGTCCCAATACAACTTTTTCACTTCCAATATGATACCAGTTTTGCTTCCTTGAGTACTGGCCAACACCGATATGGACCTGATAGGATATCAGAACAAATCCTACGTACTTTTATTTTTGTAGTGTGGAATCTCAAAAAGTCTTGATGAGGTCAAACAGTAAACAGCAGTAGGTATGAGAAAACTGGTCCCGTTTATTATTAACCAATGGGTTACATATTTTTATAACTTAAACATAAGAATATTATGCACTAAAATAAAATAAAGAATAAATTCAAGACCCTGAGCAAAATAAATCTAATAAAAACGAAATACACTTTTGAAATGTAAACTGTTCAAGGTCACTTAAGTTATTTATGCTGAATCCAAGCTCTGTTGGGTAGAAGTTCTGTGTGGACTACAGGAATGGACAGCATGTATCGGAATGCATTAGATGCAGGCCGAAATAATCCGACATAATTTTTTTTGGATAATATCGGACTACAGTACTGTATATTGATATCGGATCGGGGCACCCCTAGTTTTCAGATTTATTATTTTCTCTCAAATCCCCTCATAATTCAGAAATCCATCTCCCACATGTCCAGATTTCAGTTATTATAGTTCAGAATTTAAAAACTAGAAGCAACACTAGAAACATATTAATCACGTGTGTCCATCAGTCTCCTCGCAGTTAAAGGGCAATATCATGTAAAATAAACTTTTTTGAGTTTCATATCATGTTATAATGTTATACTCTCATAAAAAACATGCCCAAAGCCTTGCTCTGACTCATTCATGCATGTTTGAGAAATCCTGCAGCGT